TTGATATAGTTCTCTCTCCTTTGTTTTTTCCACTTGTCTTCAAGATAACCATCTTCGGAGACACAGCTAAAATGATTGGCATTTCTTTCCCCATCTTCCGCACAAGCAAATATTTTTACATCTGTGGAGTGAAATATGTCCCTAGATCAAGATCCTCCTTCCTCCAGCTCTAAATCCCCAAAATCTCACTCAGAATTATATTTTCTCTAATTATTCAAATCATATTTCACAAATGAAAGATATTTCCAGATTTAAAACCCGGTTATCAATTATAAATATAGCAATACTGCTGGTACCACAGTGAAAGGAAAACAGTACACAGGTCTTTATAACCAATAAGCATTGTACACCATTAAAAATAGGGAATTTCTTCAGATAACTCAGATATCTGCTAATTTCTTCATTATGGCTTCTTTCAGATATATGGGGGAGGGACATTTACAAATTGTTATTTTCATCTTGAGACTGAAGATCTCACTACTTCTCATAAAAAGCTTGCCCAAGAGCAGAAATAGGAGATAGACAAGTCAGTTCTAACAGACTTGGAAAGAAGTATAATTGATTAAGAAGTAAAATTATTTCCTGAAATGACATCGGAGAATATCTCTGCCTCCCTCCTTTAAGTCACCCAAATGGAAAACACATTTGGCTCCAGGGAGCATTAAATAAAGGATAGGGAACATAAAATACAAAATATTTTTTCCATGACGTCAATACCTCACAATTTGGTTAAGTCCGATCTACCCCAGAATTTCCATCCCATGACTCCCTAAACTTATGAGATGTGGAAAATAACAGTGCAGCAGAGCCACTCGAATAACTTGCCAGTGATAACTAAACTAATTTCAGAGGAAATGGAGGCATAAAACGAATCTGCACCAATTGGACCTCCTAACTTTAATCTTCACAACCTGTGTTCATTCCGTTGCTAGAGTTGAGGTGGCTCAAGGTTGACAGCTGTATGTTTTTAGATTTTATAAGTTGCTTGTATTACTCAGGACTATTTCAGATATTCATAACAGAAACCCTTTTCAAACTAGCTTAAGGTGAAGACAGAATTCATTGAATTTATGTGATTGGGAAGTTGTTTCATACTCTTTTATGAGATGGTCAGCTAGGTGGGGCCACAAGAGGAGACTCAGGAAAACGGAGAGGCTCAGGAAAACAAAGTTTATTATCTTCCCAGGTCCTAGAGACAGGAGGCATGACACATCACGCAGGGCCACATGGGAACACAAGGGTGGTCAGGAGGCAGAAGACAGGAAGTTGTGGTGGGGAGGCCTAGGCCATGGCTTTTGTTGAGGTTTCCACAGGAAAGGCAAGGCAGGACAGGGTATACAGTTTAGGATTGGCTAGTTTGAATAATTTTGGAGGGCTTTGGGCTATTGGGGTGGTCGCTAGTTGCCTGGCAGCTGGCCCTAGGATGATTGCTGGCAGAAGAATATTGCCTCCTGGAGTTTATGGGCCAGATGAAAGAGGTCTGGCTCTGGATTAGTTTGCATATCAAAGACATGCTCTTTGCTGGGCCCTTTGCCGTCTCTAGGAATTGGCTGCCTCAGGGCAGGGCACTGTCTCCCTATATATTTATAAACAGAAGTTTAAAAGATACATCTAGCTTCAGGACCAGCTGTATCCAAAAGTTCAGATATCATCCAGACCCCTGTCTTTCTCTCACTGTCTCTCAGTTTACTTTCCTTTGTGATTACTTTTTCAGATGGGTGCTCTCCATATCAAAGCAAGGTGGCCGCTGGCAGCCTCCAATTACATTGTCCTTACAAATCGTAATCCCATTGAAAGAGGGCACATCTTTCCCGGGAGTGCCAGTAAAAGTCTCAAGGAAGACTCTGATTAGTCCTGCACTGATCATGTGCCCATCCCTCATCAATCATGGTGACTAGAAAGAGGAAGTATTCTAATTGACCAAACCTGGGTCATTTGCCCATGTTGGGCTTGAAGGGGAAGGGAAACAGGAAGGAGGCCAACTGTACTCAAACTACTTGGGTGTGCAGGATTGTTCTAGAACAGAGTGGAGAAGCTTGGCAAAATTATGCCGCCAACGTCCCTATAAGAAGAAAATATATAGCGTAGACATAAAGTGAAACAAGCTGATTGAATCCAAGAAAATGTCTTGTTAATATTCAGAATTTAAACTCCTTGTAGGAAGTAAGCTAAGACTTAATGATTTTGGTGGGAGGGTAGGAGCTGGTGGGAAAGGAGCAAAGCTTTCTAAGGTAGCCCTGGATGATCTAGGATGCTTGTGCTGTAGCTTTCAAGGACTGAGGGTTGAAAATACTCTCTTGAGAATGAGAGCTTAATACTGAGTCTAAGATATCCTTGCTTGGCTTCTAGAAGTTTCTAAATTCCTTCAGTCTCTATCTCCCTCTACTCACCCCTGCCCTCTCTCTCCCATCCTCTCTCTATCTCTTTCTCCTCCCTTCACATGATCTGTTGTCTGTGCCATGTATCAGCTTCATCCTTCTCTCCGCATAGCAGTTTCTCTGAAAGGTTCTTGGTTCCTGCTGCTCCATAAGAATGATTTGGGTTTTCATGGCCCAAAGTATGGCACAGGCTATACATGGCCTCCAGTTCCCAACATCCACTTACCTGAGTTTCTGTGTCTTGGGACAAACTGTAGAGAGAGAATTCTGTTAGCTCAGCTTGAGTCATGTGACTATCTTGGTCCACTCACCAGGGAGCAAAAAATAGGTCTGCCTCTGCCCACCTCATCAGTCCGGGTTATTAGGGGGCACTGTCCCACTTCTAATACTCTAAACACACCCCCAAATTAAACACCACAAAAAACAGACTCAGGAGCTAGAAGAGGAATGGTAATGATGGTGTGGCATGAAACTTTTTATTACCCCTAAGATGGCTCTGAGAGAAGTAGCTCAGATCAAAAAATTAGCCCAACAAAAGAATGGACGGTGATCACTAAACTACACTGCAGAATTTGAGGGCCACCAAAGCAGAAGCCAAATGCAAATACAGTCACTGCTCCATCTTTTTTCCCACATGGCCCTAAATTTGCAATATTAAAATCTCCACTATGTTAAATAACTAACATGGGGCATATGCTTCTGGAGGCCACTGTTACAGCACTGATCTGTTGCCTACAAAGATAACTTTGTTGAGATTTTTTTTTTAAAGATTGGCACCTGAGGAAACTACTGCCAATCTCCTTCTTTTTCCCTGTTTCTTTCTCCCCAAATCCCCCCAGCACATAGTTGTGTATTTTCAGTTGTGGGTTCTTCTAGTTGTGGCGTGTGGAAGACTACCTCAACATGGCCTGACGAGTGGTGCCATGTCCACACCCAGGATCTGAACCAGCAAAACCCTGGGCCGCCGAAGCGGAGCTCGCGAACTTAACCACTCGGCCATGGGGCCGGCCCCAAGAGATTTTTGTTTCTTAATTTAAACGAATAAAGAAATGAATAAAGGAAAACAAAGAAGGAGAATAGTTTAAAAAAAGCATACCTTACTTTCTAACCAATTAATTCCCCAATACTTCCAGAATTGTTCCATTTTTCTTTCTCTTTCTGCTACTACACAGGTTCAGGACACCTTTTTCTCTCTAATTACTGAAGAGTTCTGGCTGGACTTCCTGCCAGTAATCTTTCCCTTCTCTTAGCCATTTTTCATACTCTAGCGAAAGGATTTTTTTTTCCTAAAATATACATCAGATCATGTCACTCTCTGGCTTTGAATCCTTCAGTGGCTTCCTGGTGCCCTCAGAATAAAATTCCAACTCCTAAAAATCTTGCAAGTCCCTTCATGATCTGGCTCCTAATTGCCTCCCAACCTCACCTACTCCCTTTACTCCAGCCACACTGAACTTCTTTTAGTCATCAAACGTGGCCTATAGAAATTACTTTAAGAATGAGGGAGAATTGAAGAATTTAGACTGTCAAGGATGATAGGCATGCTATTTTAAATCTGAACACAAAGGCTCTAGGACCCACTTATGAAGACGTTTGCCTTTCTCCAGTTTAGGAGGTATCTTTCTTTGTTCTTTCTCAGCCACTAGTCCCTGAGAGGCAGAGCCTGAGTGGCCTGGCAGTAGAACTGAGGAGAAAAGTGGATTCAGTCTCTATACTGGGTAGGTAAAATTTGGCATTTTATAAATAGTTTTGGTTTGATGCTCCCACGTTGTAGTAAAGTCACTCTTGCACTTAAAAGTCTGGCTGAGTTCTTATTACTCATCACACAGAAAGGCACTGGGGTGAAGTAAGAGACTAAGTTTTGGTTCCACGGTCACATTAAAGACCAGGCACCCTTTGAGCGCTCCGATCGTGATTTACAGTAAATGGGACGCCTTCTTTGCAGAGGCCCCTGGTGCTGTGTCTACCTTCCACACAGCCTGCTCTCAGCTCTCACACTTCCTAGCATCTCAGTTGATCCTACTTAAAGGTGCAGGCAGGCAAGGTGTCTTTCTTGAGGGACAGAGAGCGCTGTCTCCACTGGGACAGTGATACACAAACAGCTGCTCAGAAGTGGAGTGAGAGAGGGAAGGAGGAATAAGCTGTCATCTAGGGGAACAAAAAGAAGTTGGCTCTATACTATTTTTTCCTCTGTCTGGGGGACATTTCAGGAGGAAAAGAAGACAGTCCTCTGTCCCTAGAGTGACTGGCACCATGATAAACATAGATGCATCTGGTCCTGACCTCGATATTGTGGCAAGGGGAAAATACTTTCTTAGGGAGACTATAGGGCTTCCCCAACTTTTGCCAGGGGTAATGGCATATGCCCAAGATGAGCCCGTCTCAGCAAATGCAGGCAATAGCCACTTTAGGATTAGCTGGGCTTCAGGTTGCCCTGGGTAGAGGAGAAAATGCAAGAAGTAGGAAGGGAGGGGCTCACCTTGCCTACACCTGTCTGTCAAGAAAGAGGACCTAAAAGGGATTTAAAGAAGGCAAGAGGAATTTGAAAGCTACTGTTTGTGGATAGGTGTGTGCAACAATTTTAAAATTACTGGTAGATGCCTTCTAGAAAGAGAAGTGCAGAGGACCCTATGGAACATCGGAAATCCATAAAAATATACTCTCAGTCTTTTTTTCCCCAGCTTTATTGATGTATAACTAACAAATAAAGTTGTGTATATTTAAGATGTACAACATGATCATCTGATATACGCACACACTGTAAAATCATTGCCATAATCAAATTAATGAATTCATCCAATACACCCTCAGTCTTAAAGCTGACAGACGACCATGTGGCTATTTGAACTGAAGGTGAAAAGATGTCCTTAGAGGTCCCAAGCTCTGGAAGTTCGGAGATTTCATTTTGTAAAGGTGAGGGGGGTGCATTACATAACTCACATTTACGGCTGCTTTTCATTACTGTTGTTATCTTAAACAGCCCTTGTGCACACATCCACTAGCCTGCACGGTCAGATTTCACCCCTCTGGATGGGAGCTCTTCTCTGTCTCCACACCAGCATAGGAAACGTATTTTTAAGAGAAGGAAGGAAAAGAAACTCTCAGGAGAGCTTGAAAGTCAGATGTTTCCTAACTTCTATGCTCTAAACCTGGGCGTGTGGAGATTAGCAGGGACTGTTGTCACAATTTTTCATTTGAGAAAAGGGTCAGAGGAGTCAAAGGATTTGCCCAAGATCATTCAGCCACTGCACGTGGCAGAGCCAGGATTTGAACAAGGGCTGCTGCAGTCCAGGGCCCATTCCTATTCCAAGGCCCCAGGCTGCCTTTTTGAAGAAAGACTTGTGGATGGAGGTACACAACTTCCTTTGTCAATTGCGGGACCATGACGTAAGTGAGGTCTTTTGACTCACAAACATGATAACTAGCTTGGAGGAGGACAGGAAGGCTGCTGTGCCAGCCCACGTTGCAGCCCAGTGACATTTCCAGCTAAAGGCCGAGCACACCAACCTATCCAGAAGTGACTGCCAGCCAGAGTCCCACCAGTCAGAATTCCAGCGATATATGGGGTAGGTAAGGCAGCACCCACTGCCTACCATCACTGACGCCTTTGCGCTGCTTCCTTCCTCACCCGCCCATCTCTGCTGAGGCCTCCTTCACCTTAGTTTCCCCCTAGTTGTGAGACTTTAAAGTTCTCTGGCTCAGCTGGTCTTGGAATTTCCTTCTAGTTCTAGGATCTCTTAGTCCCGGAGCATGTCTCTCTCGAGGAAGACTTCCTGACGGAAGCTAAGTAAGCACAGGCCAGTTTTGGTGGAAACACTTTAAAGTCTTCCTTTCGGCCCTAAAGGTTACCTATAAGTTGAGGTGGTTTCCAGGATGATTTGAGCAAATTCATGACAGCAAAAGAAGTGTCATTAATGTATAGCAGAGTGTTCATTTCCTCATATAAATGGCACTGCAAGGGTACTTTGAATAATCAATCTTTGTATAATTGGAAATGATGGGTCTTCTGCTTTCTCAGCCTCTCTGGAAAAATGCAGGAGCCATACTATGGATTAAAATTAAATATGCTACCTATAAGGAGGCAATGTCACAATGCAATGGACAAGGTATTGCCTTGGTGGCTGATTATGACACATTCTTCTCTCTTCTCTTATCATTATGCTCTTCAGCAAATCCACCACACTGAAAGAAAAGGAAGTACTTTTCACATGAGAATGACCCAGATCAGATTTAATTTATCAATCTTGGGAATGGGATTCAGAGGGAGAAAAATGAAGCTTGCTTACACCCTTTCCTAAAAGTTCCGCTGAAATAAAGGGCAAGTTTGCACAAGATGGGGTTTTTCTGAGTATAAGGTGGGGCTTGGTATATTTGTTGTTTGGGGGCAGGGGGTGCGTTTCCAGTGTGTGTGAACACACGAAGAGGGAAGTGTCTTGCTAAAAGAGCATAAAAGTAAGAGTTTACCTGGAAATTTTTGTTGTGAGAGATGTGGATACTATTGAAAATAATACAACTAAGAGAAACCAAGGCAGAAAAGTATACTATATATTAGTTAAACTTCATCTATGTAAATCCACATTTATACAAGAGATAATTAGGGAGTGGTTATTTGATTACTGGTGGATTTTTTGTTTTAGAGAGTCACAAATAGTATTTCTCTAAATACCAAGATCCTAATTGGGCATCCATGTTATAAGATTTAGGAAACTAAGTTATAGTTACATTAAGAAGCCAATATTGTGCTAATTTGCCTAAATTTCCTTTAGTTGCTCCCTTGATTAACCTCTCCTCCATCCTACACACAAAAGATAAACATGTTAAACAGGGTTGCAGGGGGAGTGCATAAAAAAAACATGCTTAAGAAGCTTGGTGGATCCATTTGTATATAAAGAGTATATTTATCCCAGGGGATTCGTCTTCATTAAAGCTTAAAGCTTCCTCTGAAGGATTCCTTCCTGGCCTTCAATAGTTAGTCCAGTCCTTACTGATAAGGTCCAGTTTAAAGTGATAGACATATAAGTTACTAAAATTACTCTATTTTTTTAAATATCAAACTAACTCACTTTTATCTTCTTTCCAATTAGTCTGAATGAGTCCAATAATATATAGATTACAAAGTTAGTGAAGAAAGAAATTCCAGAGTCAAAGGAAAAGGTGATTGAGATGCTTTTTGCACACTAGACTTGGAGGTTGCCTTTGAGACAGAAAGTGGAAAAGAGACTTTTCTTTTATGGGCGTGGTAGACACCGTTGGTTGCCAACTCTCTTTGCTTTCTTTAGGCTGTCATTCCCAGCTCTCTCTGAAGCCAGTGTAGCTATGTGACCCAGTTCTGGCCAAGGAGACACGAGGGTAAGTCGGCTGGGGTGGGAGGAGGGATTTACTTCTGGGCGTGATTTTTCTTCCTGATCAAAACAGAGATGGGGGTTCAGTATAATTGTATGAGGATGTTATCCTGGAGCTGCAGCAGCGATTTTGTTACCATGACGATCCAAGGATGAATATCCAACACTCAAGGGTGTCAGAGTGGAAAGATTAAAAAAAAAAAATCTTTAATGGCATCATCGAGCCACTTCCCAAACCTGGAACCATTTGTCTACAGATAAATGTGTTAATTGCTTAAGCCATTCTTTGTCATATATTCTGTGACTTGCAGCTATATGTATCCTGACTGATAGAATAGATTTGGCAAAGGAAAGGATTCTTCAACTAAGGTTTCTGTTACCCCATTTGACACCACTGTGTAAATTAGAAAATGTGCTTCTTCCTCTAGATAGATTTCAGGTCCCACTCCCTTCCTTTGCCACGTGCCCTGGTGCCATTACAGATCATCAATTTGCCTGCTTATGCTGCATGGAAGGGCTGCCTCTGTTCAAAGGACTCAGGTTGAAGCTGCCAATTCCAAATAAGAGGAAGAGACTAAGGAGAGTTCCTTTAGCTTTCTGTCACTTGTTGACTTCATTTGATTTTGAGATTGACTGGCTAAAATTTGGGCTGCTGTTATTGTTATTGTTTTTCATTTTACACAACAAATTTTTTTTTATTAAGGTTATGAAAGTTAACATCCTTGTGAAATTACAGTTGTACATCATTATTAGTCATGTTGTAGGTACACCACTTCACCCCTAGTGCCCTCCCCTCATCCCCCTTTCCCCTGGCAACCACCGATCAGTTCTCCTTGTCTATATGTTAACTACCACCTATGAGTGGAGTCATACAGAGCTTGTCTTTCTCTGTCTGGCTTATTTCACTCAACATAATACCCTCAAGGTCTATCCATGTTGTTGTGAATGGGACGACTTTGTCCTTTTTTATGGCTGAGTAGTATTCCATTGTATATATATACCACATCTTCTTTATCCAATCATCAGTTGCTGGGCACTTAGGTTGGTTCCATGACTTGGCTATTGTGAATAATGCTGCGATGAACATAGGGGTGCATGGAACTTTTGGAATTGCTGATTTCAGGTTCTTAGGATAGATACCCAGTAGTGGGATGGCTGTGTCATAAGGTATTTCTATTCTTAACTTTTTGAGGAATCCCCATACTGTTTTCCATAGTGGCTGCACCAGTTTGCATTCCCACCAACAGTATATGAGTGTTCCCTTTTCTCCACAGCCTCTCCAACATTTGTCACTCTTGGTTTTGGATATTTTTGCCATTCTAACAGGTGTAAGGTGATATCTTAGTGTAGTTTTTATTTGCATTTCCCTGATGATTAGTGATGATGAGCATCTTTTCATGTGTCTATTGGCCATCTGTATATCTTCTTATGATCCCTTGTATTTCATTGGTATCTGTTGTGATTTCTCCTCTCTCATTCCTAATTTTATTTATTTGTGATTTCTCTCTTCTTTTCTTGGTGAGTCTGGCTAATGGTTTGTCAATTTTGTTAATTTTTTCGAAGAACCAACTCTTTGTTTCATTGATCCTTTCTATTGTCTTTTTTGTTTCAATATCGTTTATTTCTGCTCTTATTTTTATTATTTCCCTCCTTCTACTGACTCTGGGCTTTGTTTGTTCTTCTTTTTCTAGTTCTGTTAGGTGTCGTTTGAGGTTGCTTATGTGAGCTTTTTCTTGTTTAGTGAGGTGAGCCTGTATTGCAATGAATTTCCCTCTTAGGACTGCTTTTGCTGCATCCCAAATGATTTGGTATGTCGTGTTCTCATTTTCATTTGTCTCCAGATAATATTTGATTTCTTCTTTAATTTCTTCAATGATCCATTGTTTGTTCAGAAGCGTGTTGTTTAGTCTCCACATTTTTGCACCTTTCTCTGCTTTTTTCTTGTAGTTGATTTCTAGTTTCATAGCATTATGATCAGAAAAGATGCTATCCGTATATCTTCTTTAGAGAAATGTCTGTTCATGTCCCCTGCCCATTTTGTAATTGGGTTGTTTGATTTTTCATTGTTGAGTTGTGTGAGTTCTTTGTATATTATGGAGGTTAACCCTTTGTTGGATAAATAACTTGTTTTTAACTATAAATCCAATATTGAATTGTTCGTTATTCAATAATGCATCCCAAAATACAATTCTACGAAAATATTAGTACAAAATTCTTTTCTAAGTTTATACCACCACACCTCTGCTAGTAATCTATTGAAACTGGGCTGACAGACAATATGGAAGGAATATATCCGCTTGCAATATGAAACCTTTAGGTGACAGATTATTGAATTCTCCCACTCCTCTATCTTAACTGCTGTTGGAAGCGCTTCTTTTGTGTAGCTAGCATGATGTCATTTAGCCTTCACTTGATGTAAATAAGAACTTTACGTATTAGGTCAGCTGCTATTCATAAGCTGACACTATGTAATTTTCATCATGTTTAATCAAAATTTCAAGCTATTAAATAACTTAAGTCAAAGAATTTTGCTATGAAAATACCTTTCCAATTTATATTATCACTGCGAAAGCTTAGTTTTATCTACATAACTGGTAAAATTAATCAACATGAGCACAGAAATATATGCAGGACAATTATCATTTTGACTTTAAGAAATGTAAATTAATAGGAGTCTGACATGCTTTTCCACTCATTAAATATTATATGTTGTTACTTTAGGTGTTCATTGGCACACTCACAGCTAGAAACAAACGTGGGGACTAATACTGTATGACAAGATCTAGAATAATCATATATTAGATGATCATAAAAGATAAACAGAACATTTAAAAAATCACCTTTGAACTCTTAGATGCTTTTGAAAACTTTGAGATAATGCATTTAAAACATCTAGGCCGACAGCCTGAATAGACAAAATAATCATCACAAGTAGACTCAGATATGATATAGATGTTAGAACTAGACAGGGAATTATATATATATATACAAAAGTATTATACATGCTTTATATGTATAAAGTAAATATAAAGTTAAATATATGAAGTTAGAGGAGTCATACTTCTCAATTTTAAGGTTTACTATAAAGCTACAATAATCAAGACAGTTTGGAATTGGCAAAACGATGGACACATAGATGAATGGAAGAGAAAAGCCTAGGAATAAATTCACTGAAATATAGTCAACTGATTTTTGACAAGGTGCAAAGTTAATTCAACGAAGAAAGGGCATAGTCTTTCTAATAAACAGTGCTAAAACAATTCAACATACATATACAAAAAAGAAAAAAACTCAACACAGACTTCACACCTTGTGCAAAAATTAACTCAAAGTGGCTCATATACCTCAATGTAACAAGCTTCTAAAAGAAAATATAGAAATTTGCATCATTTTGGGCTTGGTGATAAGTTTTTAGACATGACACCAAAAGCACAATCCATAAAAGGAAAAAATTGATAAACTGAACTTATCAAACTAAGTTACAAAACTTTGGCTTTGTAAAAAAAAAAGGAAAAAACATAGTTAAGAGAATGATAAGATAAGCTACAGAGCTAGAGAAAATATTTGCAAATCACATGTCCAATAAAGGACTTGTTAGGTAGAATATAAAGAATTCTTATAGGGCTGGCCTGGCGGCACAGCAGTTAAGTTTGCATGTTCTGCTTTGGCGGCCCAGGGTTCGCCAGTTCAGATCCGGGGTACAGACATGGCACCGCCTGGCAAGCCATGCTGTGGCAGGTGTCCCACCTATAAAGTAGAGGAAGATGGGCACGGATGTTAGCTCAGGCCAGTCTTCCTCAGCAAAAAGAGGAAGATTGGCAGCAGATATTAGCTCAAGGCTAATCTTCCTCAAAAAGAAAGAAAGAAAGAAACAAACAAACAAAAAAAGAATTCTTATAACTCAACAAGAAAACAAACAACTGGGGCCGGCCCTGTGGCCGAGTGGTTAAGTTCGCACACTCTGCTTCGGCAGCCCAGGGTTTCCCCAGTTCGGATCCTGGGCGCGGACATGGCACTGCTCATCAGGCCATGCTGAGACAGCATCCCACATGCCACAACTAGAAGGACCCACAACTAAAAATACACAACTATGTACTGGGGGTGCTTTGGGAAGAAAAAGGAAAAATAAAATCTTAAAAAAAAAAAAAGAAAACAAACAACTGAATTAAAAGAAGAAAAAAGACAAGAGACATTTTTCCAAAGAAAATATACAAATGGCAAATAAGCATATGAAAAGATACTCTAAGTCCTTAATCATTAGGGAAATGCAAATGAAAAGCACAATAAGATAGCTCCACATTATCTATTAGAACGGCTAAAAAAAAATCTTAATAGACAATTCCAAATGCTGGTTAAGATGTGGTACGATAAGCACTCTCAGTCATTGCTTGTGGAAACACAAAATGGTACAGCTAGTTTAACAATTTCTTAACAAAGATAAACATACACACATCATATGACCAGCAATCCCAATTGTGAGTAATTACGAAAGTGAATTGAAAACTTGTATATTCAGAAAACTGTAAATGAATATTTATAGTAGTTTTATTCATAATTACCAAAAACTGGAAGCAACTGAGATGTCTCCAAGAGGTGAACAAGTTTTAATAATCCATACAATGGAATACTAGTCAGCAATTTTTAAAAAATGAACTATTGATTCGCACAACAACATAGATGAATCTTAAATGCATTTGGTAAATGAAAGAAGCCAGACCTAAAAGACTACCCATTGTACGATTCGATATATATGGCATTCTGCAAAAGGCAAAACTATAGAGACAGAAAACACAGATAAGTGGTTGCCAGGAGTTGCGAAGAGGTTGACTGCAAAGGGGTGGCACAAGGCAAATTCTAGGTGATGGAACTCTCTGTATGGTACTGTGATGGTGGATATACAACTCTATGCATTTGTCAACAACCATAGAACAGTACACTTATTCCAACAAGGTGAAATTTATTGTTAAACTAAGAGTGAAAGTTACTGTAAACAAATTAAAAAAATCAACCGGGATGTGGGGGGATTCCAGGATGGAATGCAGACTAACAAATCTAACTGTATTACAAATATACGACATAACCTAACTGAAATGGATGGGGTAAAGGGAGCTGACCTAAGTAAATATGCAAATATGTTTTGACTTTTGACTGGCTACTGTAAGGCCGAAACAAAAGCAACTATACATAAATGCTTTATTTTAGTTGGAAAATTTTTTTCTCACAGGGGTGTAAGTTAGCAATTCTGCAACTACTTTGCATGTATACTAGGGTTGAACAAATAAGGAAACAAATTGTAGCTGATGGGAGCCAGGTTTCTCATTGTCAAAGAAAGAAGTTACAAATAAGCAGAAAAGGCAAGAATGAACCCTGTGGTTCTAGATTAAAGTTGCTGATATCAATATGAATTCACCACGTGCCTGTGTATACACAGGTAGAAAGATACACAAATAAATATAAATTTGTACATATATACCGTTTAGTAAACATACATACATTACCTTATCTATCTGCTCAAAGGGCCTGGAAGCAATGACACTCCATTAGCAATGAGCATCCAGATCTTGCTTTCTAAATATCATCCTTCAATAAAAGAAACCAAGACTCCTTGAAGAAATGGCTGATTCTATGACTGGGACAAGGAAACTACAAGCCTGGAGGTGCCACAAAGCAAGGAAATGTAAAAAGATTAAAGGATAGGGCATGTTTGGGGGTAAAAAGACCACTCACACATTCTGTATGATTCTAGAAGACCCACAGGACTCAGCATATAATTGCAATAATGGCTAAAATTTACTCCAAATGGCACAGCAGGGTTACACAGCAGATCTTTAAGGGAAAATGACACATTGGGCAGAGTCTGGAGAAATCTACCCATAGGCTTTCTATACTTTTCCTCCACCCAGGAGGACATACACCAGGTGGGCTCCCTTTTCTGGCAGGGAAAATGCAGTGGCACATGTGTAACCCATTTGAGACTCAGAGTTTAGGGCTTTTATTGGGGGCTGGTCACATTGCCATTCCATTCCCTGCCTGGCAACTACCAAAATCCCAGGCTCTCAGAAGGGAGCAGGTGTTCAGTGCCTTAAGTGGGCAAAACAACCTTACCAGTGTAGAGAACTTTCCATGTCAGAGTCAGGAATTTTTCACAAGCCAAGTTCCCAGATGCCAGCCAAGGGCAACCTTTCAAGCAGGCCTTCTAAAGATAGCAGCCTCTGGCCTGCTCTGTTAACTCCTTCCTGTACAGGGCGTATCGGAAGGACATAGGAGCCAACCTAAAACCACTCCCATGGCCAAAATTGAAACAATTTGAACAACAAAATAAATAATAGTAGTATTGGATTATAATTCAAAGAATAAAATAGATATCCATGAGTCTATACTGATATAAATAAATGAATGAAACAAACAAACAAATAAATTAGATGGTGGGGGGACCAAATCTTCCTTACAGAAGAATTCCAAATAATGAGTGTAGAAAGAATCAGGAAATTGAAAATCACCATGAGAACACCACAGTGATAATGGCTGCAAGCAAGATCCCCTAAAATTAGTAGGTGAAACCAAGGAGAAACAGAATATTTGCACAACCTCAAAGTATCTCACCAAAAAGAAAATTTATTGGTCATTGTGGTGGTTTAAACATATGTCCACAAATTCTTTGATATACATACTTCCAGGATGAGAAGTCTAATTCCCTTCTCCTTGAGTGTGGATTGGACTTAAGGATTTCTTCCAACAAACAGATTTTGGAAAGAGAAAAATAGTAACTTCACAGTAGAGAAACAAGGCAGACACCAGCTTAATCAAGTGATCAAAGTTAACATCTTTGGTAAGAAGTCACGTTGATACCATGTACCCCAATATGATGTGATGGGAACGGCACTTAAGCTCTGTGATACCATTTCCAAAATCCATGAGTTCAGTCTAATCATGAGAAAACATCAGAAAAACTCCAATTTGGGGATATTCTACAAAATATCTGACCAATATTCTTCAAAATTGTCAAGGTCATGAAAAATAAGGAAAGACTGAGAACTATCACAGATTGAAGGAGACTTAGACATAATGACTGAATGTAACATGGACTGGATCTCGGAACCAAAAGTCTGTAGGTTAGTTAATGGCACTGTACGAATGTCAATTTCACAGTGTCAATCATTGCACTATGGTTGTATAACATGTTAACCTTAGGGGAAGCTGGATGGAAGATATCCATGAGGCCTCTGTACAATATTTACAACTCTTTTGTAAATCTAAAGCTATTTCAAAACAAAACAAAAAAAATTTAAGCACTTAGGCTGGCACATACTAGTTGCTAACTAATGTTAGCTTCTCTTGATTAATTTACTTGATAATCATCCCCAGAGGGTGATAGTGCTGGGAAATCTCTCTTGTTGCCTTTACTCCAAATACAAAGTATGTTTCTAAGGATGAGTGATTTTAGTGGCACTTATAGGCTTGGGAAATTTCATTGCCCTTTAAACGAACAATATCATGATGGAAAGATACCAGGCTGACAGTTCTAAAATTTGGTCAATGTTTGACTTGCTGAGGATACCTTGGTTTTATTGTCCTCTCTGTGGAGACTGGTTTCCAGAGTGCCAGCATGACTGGAGAATTGGGTCCAGAGTGTGACCACTCGGAGGCAAGATGAGCTAGCTACACATGCCCCTGCAGCAGGCCCTAACCCTACCAGCTCAACTACCCAAGGCTGTGTTCTTAAGGCTGTTTGGAAGTGTATGACCCAAGATGCCAGAGTCAAACCAACACCGAAGACAGAAATACCTAGAAAGGAGACAGTGTGAGAAGTGTGGCAAGTATGGGCCTTACCACTGGCCCTAAGGTTTCTAGATATTACTAACTTCAATAGTGGTTAATTGAGAGGCTGGTGAAGGGTGAAGAGGCAGCTTTGGAACATGGAGTAACTGTAAGCTATATTGTATTCCTATGTATGCTTCATCTTACAGTAGAATGTTTGTCTTTCTCTCATTGGAAAAGAACTTTGTAGTTTTACCCTGGCTAAATTCCTTCCTGTTCAGTGGCGTTGGAAAGCTACAGTGAAGTCGTTTTTGCTTATTATTTATGTTCCTACCTGTTTCCCAAAAGGATCTAAGCTGGTTCATTCCTCAAACATTTTTGCTAACCCTAGGCCTTCATTCTCTTCCAGACCATCTGTTACTCTTCACCATGAAGTCATAGTACTAAATTTGTGACAGTACAATCATTTCCATGGCAACAGGATGTGGTCTTCACCACTGAATCCAGATTTCACTCTGACCAAGATCAAGCAGCAGAAAGACTGGGGAGTGTATTCCGACATTTTCTATTCTTTTTCAAGTTTAGTTTCTCTCTGAAATTTTTACTTTTGATTCTAAAATCATATACTCAGCCTGGATGTGTGTTTTTGCATAGTTTACGTATGAAGCATTGGTCCAGTAAATCATCAGATATGCAAGCTAAAAAATAATGAGTTGAGAAATATCACACAAATCTACACACACACACACACACGCACAATGATGTATAAACTTTCATGAAAGTGGGATGATTAGCAAATGCCTTTCTGGTTTGTACAGAAGAAAAGAGAACAAGGAATCCACTTAAGAGACATGAAACTTCTAAGCCTAAGAAATTTGCTTTGATGACTGTGATAAGCAGTGCAAGGAAACTGACCCTGTTCCTACTCAATGGTTTCCTTATCTTGCTTAGGACAAGTAAGACATAAAAGAGTCTTCCCGTGTACCTGCAGACCTCTCCAGAGGAAGATAGACAGAAGGGCAGCTTTATTCATATAAATGACCAACACCTGGGTATTTTGTCCATTTGCTTTAATCTCACACAGCTTACTTACAGAGTCTTTGGAGAAACTCCTTAGAACACCATTTGCGATTCCATGGAACTGAGTAAAGGGCTTGAATTTTTAAGAACACTAGTTCCTAGAGTATCAGAAGAAAATACCTGATTGGTGCATTAGCCTAGCAATTTTATGCGAAAGACCGTAACAGGCAAAGACTGCTATAATGAGGCTACGTTGGACACACCACATAATATATATATAAAAGATATGTTATATGTTAGACATCATATAATATCTTATGTGTATGTGCATATCACAGAGAAAAAAATGTAACAAGTGAGAATGGACAATATTCCCTCTTACTCTGTTCTCCCCGGCTTCCTTGTTGAGTTGATGGGATAAGTAGCGGCAGACAATGGGGAGAAATGGTGATAAAGGGTAGAAGGAACTGGAGGAGAAGCTAAAGTGATGCATATTAATTTTTAAAGGGATAAGAAATTACCACAGTGGAAAGGAGCGGAAGGGGGCAGAGAAAGGAGGGAAGCCAGAGATGAGGGGAGAGATTGAAAAGCAGAGACGGGGTGTTTGGACAGCAACTGCTCTGCGGTCTGGGGCTTTGGGGAAATAAATTGGAAAGGAGGATTTTAACAAAGTTCTACTGTTGGTTATGTGGTGTGATTCACCACTTTGCTACTTCTTCACGACTTCAGTGAAGACAAATTATTTTTTAAAGCTCTTTAAGGATGGACTTGGGATTCTTTTGAATGAGGTAAAATGTTCAGATGGACACTAAGGCTGGAGTAAGCCCTATTCTGGTTTTACTAATATATATATTTGAGGAAAATAATCAGCAGTTTCTATCTCTTACCCTCAGAGAATATGTCGGCCAGAGCTGCCCCACTCTCAAGTCATATCGTACTCATAGTGGGTGCTGGCCACAGATGGGTGGCATTCTATGGTCTGGAGTTTCTACCTTTAGTGAAATTTAATTTTAGCCTTAAAGGAGTTGGGAATTTAGTTGAATCAAACGTGGAAGCGTAGAAAAGACACTATTATTGCTTCAGGGAGGCGTAAGGCCAAGACCTGGAGCTAGTTTTTGAGGCCTAAAAGAAGGCAAGACCAGGTTACGGGGCATCATGACACCTAAAGGACAGGCCTCACTGACAATGAGATGGTGTATTCAGGTCTGCTCCAATCTGACACTGATGTCTCTGGGTCTTGTTACAGATTGTAATTACTTCAGAAAACGCAGAGCCTCCTGCTTGTTCTCCTGCATACGGGTATGGTAACAAGTAAGGAAGACCTTGCATGAAGGTCACCATCACTTTTGATGTCATCAATAGTTTCCAAGTATGACCATCATAATGGAGGATATGTAATGATTCAGGAGAGGTAACACAAGATGAAAATGATCATCAGGATAGAAGTAAGAGGCCAGGGCGAGTAGAAAGGATCAGCTATCCCCAAGACTCCTATATAATATTAGTCCCTAAGATGTGCTGTGATTTAAAAAAAGCTTCTATGGGAAGATAATTTTGGGCACACTGCATAATCCTTTTCACTTAGGGAAATACACACGATGTTATAGCCTCTGAGAAGTCCTACCAAGAAAAAAATCCTGCTTAAACTGTTGTTGCCCAAACTTATTTAATCATGGAACACGTTATTTTAGCCACATCTATTAACATCCAATGGCTAGTATTATTCAGAACATACATTGATTAGTATTGGGATAGATGATGTGTGTGAAACCATTTTATAATAGCTTATACTTCTCTTATAGCTAAAAAAAAAATATGAAAGGACATAAGTCTACTGTCAGCCTATACTCAATTACTGTGACTTTTGACCTTTCTATAATTTCAATGCAGGGCTTTACCCTACCGTACAGTCAAGGATTGCTTCATAAAAACTGGGTGAGACTTGTATTTGGCACTCAATGCAAAGTTGCATGCTTTACTTCATTTCTCCTAAATGCTCAGTACCTTCATAACGCCTGTACTCCCCAGGAACTCTCATCTGGCTAATCTCTAGGACGTAAATTTTCCTTTGCAGGGTTGTATGCATCAGAGTTTTTTTAACTCCCTCCCACCAAAACCAACGTCATTCCTCAGGAAACTTCTTTCTGCTAGGGAACCTACAAATAAACCCATCCTAACGTTACCAGGTTAGCCAGGTTACATATTTGCTGTGTAACAGGGGCTTGCTGAAAATATAATGCCTTTTTCCTGAAAAAGGAGCTTCAAGGTAGGGATTTCCAGAACTGGAGCAACTTAGCAGGAGGAAATGTTTTGGGTTAGATGGGTCTTTCATGATCCACAGATTGTACCACTTGAGGTCACCTCTTGTCTTTACATGAAGGGGACTCAATCTGCAGAATGATGCTCTCTTTGAGGGAACCATGCTTGACTATGTGTAATATTTCTTTTCAATAGTCCAAAAATTGCTGATGCAGTGTTTCATAAGTAATATTAAGTGTGGAGGAGTATCTTTTTACATTTAATGAATAAATAAATGGCTATCTGCACTGCTGTGGATTTTTTTGTTTTTAATTCTTGTTTAGTTTTGAATAGATAACACACTCACATGCTACAAAATACACAGGGCACAAAACAGCATATCATTAAAAACATGTTTCTCGGGGCTGGCCCCGTGGCTGAGTGGTTAAGTTGGCGTGCACCGCTGCAGGCGGCCCAGTGTTTCGTTGGTTCGAATCCTGGGCGCGGACATGGCACTGCTCATCAAACCACGCTAAGGCAGCGTCCCACATTCCGCAACTAGAAGAACCCACAACGAAGAATATACAACTATGTATTGGGGGGCTCTGGGGAGAAAAAGGAAAAAAATAAAAAATAAAATAAAATCTTAAAAAAAAAAAAAGTTTCTCTCCTTCCTCTGCATCTCAGTGATCCTGTTTTCTTCTCCAGAGGCAGCTATTATTACTAATTCCTTAAATATCCTTCCATGGATATTCTATGTATTTACAAGCACATACATATTTTCTTTTTTCACACAGATGATAGCACAATATACATATTCCTCTCTACTTTGATTTTTTTCACTTATGAATATATCTTAGATATCTTTCCATATTAGTCTCTGGAGAGCTAGTGGCTTGGTTATTTTAACAGCTGCATGGTGTTCACTGAATGCCTGTGTCATTTTATTTCACCATTCTATTGATATATTGTTGCCAATCTTTCATATTGTTAACAATATTGCATCAAATAGACTCACTGAATAAACACGTAGAAATGGAATTTTGTCAATAGGTAAGGGCATTTTTACTTTTGAAAGATATTTCCCAATTGCTCTTCATCACTTACACACCCATCAACTATTTTTGAGTGGCTACTACCTTAAATCTTTATCAAACCAGTATTTTATCAAATATTTTTATCTTTGACAATTTGATGGGGGGGAAGTTATATATAATTTTTATAACATGAGAACCAAAGATAATCAGGGAAGTGGCAATTCTGGATAAGCGTAAAGAGCATTAACCTATCTTTTCCATTGGTGATGTGGGACAGAATTTCCCATCTTACTGAACTCAAGAACTTGTCCGTAAGTAGACAGGTATTGAATTAAAATAATAAGTTGATCTTAAATCAAAAGTGATTTGAGATTCAAGTAGGTTACCTCAAAAAGTTAAAGACTCTTTTTCCCCGAGAGGTCCTTACACACACATAATTCTGGGCTTGACACTTCTGGAAGTAGGGAGAAGACCATAACCTCTGGAGGGGTTTCTAGCTTCATGATGCTATGACTTCTGTAACTCCGTGGATATATGAAAGTATTGAACAATGAGCAGGATACTTTCATTACTAATCCATCCATGATTACACTTTATAAAATAAAGGGAAAACATTTCCTTAATGGATCACTAAGCATAAACCAGGAGAAAAGGAGGGAGACCCCAGTTGACTCCACTTCCAATTCACTTCATCCTCCTGGTCCCGTGACCACAGCCAGGACCTTAAAATCCATTGGGGCCATTCAGCGTCACAAATGGCAAATTCACACCTGTCACTATCTGACTACAACTCCTAGCCTTCCAGCTACCTCATTCCATTATTCTTGCCACACTTGTTCTCTCAGTTTATTAGGCCCCCCTCCCTTTTACTCTTCCTTCCCTACCCAAGACAACTCACACTTCTCCCCAGTGAGTAATTTATCTACATCACTATCCATTCTCACTTTCTTCTTTCCTAACATAAAAATGCAGCATAAACTCAGATGTTTATGAAATATTTTATTTTTCTATGAATAAATTCAACTTCAATTACAGACCCCATTCTGACATTGGCAGAAATATAATCTTGGCTGATTTTCTCTGAGTAGTATCTAAATTTCAGACTTTGGGGATTGTGTTATGCTATGGGGGTGGACAGGGTTTTGGGGACCCACAGCATGCAGACTGCAGCCATTGTCTAATTTCACTGGCAACTGGCAGATCACCGTCATAAGTCATCTGTCAGCCCATGCTAAGTACTGCTGGGTTGTCACCTCATTCAGGCCCTTAGGGGGATGGGAAGTCATTCTACTGCTCCACGGGCCTGGCTCTGGCCCATCTTCCTAGAGACTATTCAGTCTTTCCTTGTCCTTCTTTAACGAAAACAAAATTTTAAAGTACAAACAATAATATAAACCATCTACGTACTTATCACCCCAAATGAGCAAGTGTTACTCTTTTCATATTTCCTTCAGCACAGATAAAGGTGAAATCCCCTGTGTGCCTCTCCACAGCCTCACTCCTCCCCGACTCCCTCATTCCCTAGAGACAACAGGGATTACGAATTTGGTGCAAAGGTAGTCCATGCTGTTATGCTTTTGTCTGATATATTCGTAGCAAAAAAAAAAAAAATATATATATATATATATATATATCTTGTATTTGTTTTTAAAAAGTGTTTACAAATAGTATCATACTCAACATGCTGCAATTTGATGTTGCAGACTGTTTTCAAGACTTATCCATGTATTGACATAGAGTCAATTAGTTATTTTAACTTCTGTACGGTATTTCATCAAATGAATATACTATAGTTTGTCTGCTCCCTATTCATTCACCCTTTGGGTGTTTCCAGCATTTTATTAATACAAACAATACTATAATGACTATCCTTTCCTACCTCTTTCACAATCTGCTACTCCTCAGTAGCAGCAATCTCTATCTCAGTAGATGGCATCTCCAGGCACCAGACCTAGGTTCTTGGCCAAAAACCTCAGAGTCGTCCTTGAACCTTTTCCCTCACACCTCAAATCCCTGTCACCAAATTGTTCTGTATCCTGAATCCAACCACTTTTCAACACTTTCAAACAAGTCCAAGCCACCAACATCTCTTTCCTACCATGGCAATAGCTTTCTGCCCTACTGCACTCACTTACTCCACTTTACCTCACGGGCTTGTTTGCTTTCTTCCAGCGTGTCAAGCTCGTTTCTGCCTCAGATC